TTCTTAGACTATTATTCTATTCTATTCTATTCTATTCTTAGACTATTCTATTCTATTCTTGACTATTCTAGTCTAGTTTATTCTTGACTATTCTATTCTATTCTATTCTATTCTATTCTTAGACTATTCTATTCTATTCTATTCTATTCTTGACTATTCTATTCTATTCTATTCTTGACTATTCTATTCTATTCTTTTCTATTCTATCCTATTCTATTATTCTATTCTATTATAATTCTATTCTATTCTTTTCTATTCTATTCTTTTCTGTTCTATTCTATCCTATTCTTTTCTATTCTATTCTATTCTTGACTATTCTAGTCTAATTTAGTCTAGTCTATTCTTGACCATTCGACTAGTCTATTCTTTTCTATTTCTAGTATTATTTTCTAGTCTATTATTTTCTATTCTATTCTTTTTTTCTATTCTATTGTATTCATTCATTCATTCTTTCATTGATATTTTTTATTTTTTCATTCATTCATTTAATATCCATTCATTTATCATAAATATAATGTACTTTAGAAACAATTCTTTGAGGGTTTATATATTATACATATAGCAATGGCGCGTGCAAAACACTCAGTTTGCTGAAGAAGGCCGAAGTGCCGATACATTCTAAAGTAGAAATACTTAGCCTGCGTAGCGGCCCTAAGGGGATTGGGGAGGGCCGGCCGAGCGGGGAGTGGGGAGGAAAATAGGAAGGGCCTGCAAGCGGACCCCACGGTTTTACGAAACGCCCCCTAATTAATATTTTCAAAAGTCTGGCAAATCTAACTTTACAGTTGTCAAAATAAACCAATCACGAAGCGCTATCAGTATGAGGTCGCGAGGTCAACGGACATGAGAACTAATATTTTTGTAAACATGCTACACCATCAACAACCAGAGCSACAATTCTTGAAGCAAAACTTTAATTGTCCTTGTCTGTGAGAAARTCYGTGAAGCGTCTGTCCAAAGCACTTTCAGCGGAAGCATATATAACATCTACACTCGATAACATGTCTAAATTGCGTCAACCAGATTACATCCCTTGAGTCCAAGAGAATCTATTTCCAAGATCTGGTCATTTATAATACTAACTAACGGAGAAATAACTATAACAAGAGGAGAGATCTCTTKGAAGCGAAGCTCGAAGCGAGACAACAGAACCAGCACTTGAAAGATTAAACTTTTTTCCGAAGCCAGTCRTCAAGATCGCCACCAAGTCTTTMTTTTTTACGTACAGTTGTTCTAAAGCTTGTCGCTGTTCTTCTTTTAGTGAAATTTTGAAGCCTTTTTCTTTTAAATCGCTTAAAGCACGCTCTAACCGATACAAAACTCTTCTTCATCGCCCCCCATGTTTGTATAAACGCCAACTTGACCTGGTATCTATCACTTTGACATTTGATTGACAGCTTGCTGCTCTCGACCAATAGGGAATTTACGGCCAAATCGAACTGTAGATTTCGTAAAACCGTGGGGTCCGCTTGCAGGCCCTTCCTATTTTCCTCCCCACTCCCCGCTCGGCCGGCCCTCCCCAATCCCCAATCCCCTTAGGGCCGCTACGCAGGCTAGAAATACTAGTTGCACGTCATGTGCCTTTTTCTTCAATTTATTCAATTTATGATATACATTAACATATCATATAATATATATTTTTTTCTTCTTCTCTATTTCAAATTATTTAAAAAAAAACTTTTTTCAGTCTGTAGGATTTTATGATTATTCCATGAATTATTTAATAATAATTATGACAAATTGAGTTCGTATTATTGCATACTTAATCATTATTATTTTCATAAGTTTTCATTATTTTCATCTCAAAATATTTATAAAAGAAGCCTTGAATTGTCTTTTTTGCCTTACCAATCAAACACAAGAGATTGATCCATACATGTTTTATTATTATTTTATTTTATTATAATTTAACAAAAACGTTGTCGTGATAGAGAAACAGAATATTTACTTAGTAAAAAAGAATTTATTTTAAAGCCTGAACGATTGTCTTTTTTAATTTTTTCTTTTCATAAAAATGTTCTTTTTTATGACAAACTTTTTTCCATTAGGTATATATATATATATTATTATTATTATCGCATACAGCTATTTGCAATAATTCTGACCCCCCTACACTAATATTCATATATATCAAAGTAGCCTTAGAAATTATGGGATACCAATGCTGATATTTTTTTGAGAAAGTACTCATTCTGGGCAACTTAAAAAATATATCAGTCATGATATTCCATAATATTTAAGGTCAGTTTGATATATATGAAATATGGCAGAGGGGGTCAGAATTATTGCAAACAGCTGTATATTATTATAATTACATCTAGTCAATGCATATAATTATAGTGACTAGCTGGAAATAACGTTAGATTTAAAAACAAAAAAAAATGATATTTGACTTCCCACTCCATGACAGAAACAGTAAACAATAGAGGCAGTGTTTTAAATTATTCATTGCAGAATATCATTTTGATTAGAATTGTGAGGAAAAACAACATTTCATCATGCGATTCAGTTTCAATGCAAAAAATCCTWTTGAARCATAAAATCTCTTTAGAAAAACTCAACCATATTAAAAGATGTCCTTGGTGTGTTTATTTTGTGGTTAAATAGTGAGATATCATGAGAAATTTTGATCGAAAAACAACTGAAATGTTGAAATTATAAAATGGTGTGAATCATAAATGATATATTTCTTTGTTTTGACGAAAAACCTCCCAAAAGATTAATGTTGGTCATCAGAATTAATTAAAAATTTCTAGTTTATTTTCTTTTTTTATGATGTCTGCAATCATATGGAACTATAGTGAAGCCATTYAGTGAATCAAAATTTAGAAAACAAATAGTCAAGAGCACATTAAATTAATGCAGATTTTATCAAAATTATACATTACAGAGAAGGACATTTTATCATTTGATGTCAAGAAAAGTTAAATGTTTTTGATAGACAGCAAATTCAGACTGGCATACTCTCTCTCTCTCTTCACTTCTTCCTAGGGCTGTCACTCTACACATGTAGATCCCTCCCCACCTCCCATATTTCCACAACCCCCCTCCCCCCCCTTCCTTTGCTGAAAAAAACAGCAAATTCAGACCACGCTTTTTACGCCCTCTTACTTTCTCCTAGGGCTGAAACTCTAAAACACAGCAGCTCCATTCTAGATCTTTCACCCCTCCCCAACCATATTTCCACTGTAACCCCTCCTCTCCCCCCCCCCTCCTTGCTGAAAAATTATTTCATGATAATGTCTTAAAGATAAGCTATATAATTATTTTTCTTACCATAGCGCATATAACAGACTTGTATTTGAGCTTTATAAATAAATATTATTATCATAATTATTATTATCATCAGATTTGATGCCCAACTTTGTTTTCTTATTATCCTGGCACCAATTTCTACCCAGTTAGCTGTATTTAATCAWTGTTGTTTGAGAATACTAAATTTGTTTGAACAAGAAATGATGTAGTATGTATTTCCAGACTTTTTGGCTCCGTGATTCTATAAATCTTTGCATGAGGTCTGAAGTTTACATTTAATAATTGCTTTGCTGTCCTAACAGTTGATGATTTCTTATTTCCTACACAATGGGAATTTGTTTGGTCAATTAAAACAAATTATAGAAATTGTACACATAATTAAAGAATAAGTTAATGGCATTTCTACCTACATGTAAGTTGAATATGGAGCTTTTTCACCCAAATTGTCATTTTCAAAATACTTGATAYTTAATAAGAAAACAAATATAGTGCCAAATTGGTCACATCACAAGTGATAAAGATGCCAAGTTTTAAGAATACAAGCTCTTAAGTTTCATATTTTCTTTTTGTTTAATATTATGAAATACAGGCTCACCAAGCATTGATTGCCAGCTACATGTACCAGACAGTACAAATAATTAGTGCATAGTCATATCTTTGCCAATTTATTTAAGTTTTATGTATTTGAAACTTGCCATATTTATTAATCATTGATGTGACAAATCATACTGTTAGATAAAAATTGTTTCGTAGGTTAATATCATTTTGAATCATAATTTATCTTACACATACATTGTCATAAATGTTATAATTTATGGGTACTATAATGAAACATTGGTAAAGATAAGCCAGAAGTTCAGTGTCGTCTTGGTAACATTATCAACCGACCAAAATACAGTCTATAACATAATTCTCAACATTATCATAAATTATCATAATTATAATTTGAATCATTTATATTCAGGTAGAGAGAGAGATAGCTATCATGAAGCTGATAGAGCACCCCCATGTCCTTGGCTTGTATGATGTCTAYGAGAACAAAAAGCATTTGTAAGTAACCCTTAACTTTTCTTTAATTGCCCTAGTTCATTATGACGTTATGGATTATGGTTRCCAGAAGGGATCAGAGTGACTGCATATCAAATAAAATGTACATGAACAATCATTTATACATGATATATATCAAAACGCGATTCATTGAGGTTCTACTAAGTAGAAAATATAAATGGATCCAAATTTCCACTGTTTTTGAGCATCGTTTTCCGATGTWAACATACTGTGACGTCATAATGAAATAGGGCAATTGTTGGGTTTCTTTTGGTTCTACAACCCCAGACATGTGGGCTCCCTGTGTTACTTTTGGATCTCCTATAATTCTGTATCATTGAAACCATATAACCTCTGATTCCTTGGGGTTTTAGATATTTTCAGCTGTTCAATTTTGGATGACATTGTTAGGCCTTCAGTGTCTCCATATAAATGTTACCCAGACAATTGGGATTCCTGTGTTAAAGTCTATTTATTGTTGGGCTGCCTGTGTTTAACACATCATTTAAAGGGCTACTTGGACGAAAATTGCAGAACATTAGAAAAGACTTGGAAATCAAATACACCTATCCATATGGGTCTAATAATCATGAAGCAACAGATTTCAACAAGATATTGATACAAATCCTTAACAATTTGGGCAAAAAATGTTGGAGTAGATGACGTCATTTACTCCATCCTTCTGTTCTTCCATCTTTTGAATCAAAATTTCTCTGATGTGGGATAATTCAAAAACAAATATTTTCCCGCAATTGTTTTTAATAGATATAAATGAGTCATATATTTGTATTGCTTGAAGTTTTGAAATAAGGCCATTTTCATGCAAGTAGCACTTTAATCATTTAGCTATGAGATTCATTAATTGTATTGAATATTCATAGAGCTATATTTCCCTATTTTTTTCAACAGATTTCTTATTTTAGAGCATGTGTCAGGTGGTGAATTATTTGACTATTTAGTCAGACGAGGAAGGCTTCCTATAAATGAGGTGATTATTAGCTGCATGTGCTACATGTGTGCAGCGAGTAGCGTGTTGTACAAATCAAGTGCTCCTGGTTCTCAAGTTTCTTTTCTTGACATCCTGTCTTGTTTTTTCATGCCTTAATTTCGATTATAATCTTGATTGAGTGAATAATTGGTTGATTGATTAATTGATTGAAAGAATGATTGATTGATGGACTGAACAATAGATTGACTGATTGATTAATTGACTGAAAGAATGATTGATTGATTGACTGAACAATAGATTGATTGATTGACTGAAAGAATGATTGACTGAATGATTGATTTGATTGATTGATTGATTAAAAGTATGGTTCGACCTGTCATTTTTTTTAGGCCAGAAGATTTTTTGCACAAATAGTTTCAGCAGTAGATTTTTGTCATAAACACTGCATTTGGTAAGTATAAAACAAATGTAATTAGCTTTTTCTCAATCCTCATTCTCTTTATTAGTATTGACAAAATATAGGCATATCCACAAATCCAGCATTCTGATTGGCTAAGAAACTATGGTAAATTCAATACAATTATACCATGGCTGCATTGAATGAAGCAAAAACAGTTGAAGAAAAATTTGAGAAAAATGGTTCTTTATGTTTTTTTTTCTTTTTTTTTTTTTCAAATTTGCACTAGTTTCGATCTAATAAATATTGAAAATGTAATATGTTTTTCTTTAGTCATAGAGATCTTAAGCCTGAAAACCTACTACTAGATAGACGRATGAACATTAAAGTAGCTGACTTTGGCATGGCTTCACTGCAGGTAGGCTATCCTACTCCATAGAAGGCTTTTTTTTTCTTCGATATAGAAATGAAAGAAAGTTATAGTGCTTAGAATGAGGCAATTCCGGGAGAAGTCCCTTAGGAATAAATTCGGATTTTTTTCTTCTTTGGGCTTCCTTTGTAATGTTGGAAACTAGCAGTAAACTGTAACGTTGTGAACTGCTTTGATGTTAAATAATGAAACAATTGTGGAAAAAGATCAGTAACAGAGTCTAATCATGGCCCTTTTTTCGCAAGGAAAAGATACAGTACAGGGTTCATGCTACTCCTTGAAATCCTTGAAAAGTCTTGGAATTGACCACTCGTATCCAAGGGCACTTGAAAAGTCTTTGAAACTGGGGAAAATTGCTAAAACTCTACGAACTGCTGAAGATAAAAATTAATTATTAATTTAGTGATTGATGGTATTTATGTTGCAGGCCGGTGATAATGCAATGCTGGAAACGAGCTGTGGGTGAGTGAAGCCATTTTGAACATTAATGACAACCATATAGCACCAATTATAGTAAAAAGATTGTCCTCAAAATATCTGTTGTGAGATGCCATGGCTACAATGCTAATAATTCATTCATTGCCATTTTTAGGTCACCTCATTATGCATGTCCAGAAGTAATAAGAGTAAGTTTTATTATTTCATACCTTGTAAAATTGTCTTTGTATTATATGTAATGTAATTTTTATTTTAGGGGTCAGAATATTTGACGTGTATGATAATTTTGTGCTTAAACTTTCCTGCCCAGTATAGTTGCAATAGCCAATTTGCAACGTTGCCTCAAAGTCCGTAGTCAAACACAAAAGAATCAAAACGATTCAATTGTAAAAAACTATCGTGTTTTCACGAATGACTGAGCTTTATGCACGGCGCCTTGTCTTGATTCCTTGTAGAGGCGAAATTCGCAAGTCGGCTATTGTTTTTTATTTGTTTGTCTGTTGCTTGTTTGTTGTTGTTGTTTTTTTTTAATGTGTTTTGTGGCTTTACCATCACAGAAAGGTTCTCTGCTTTGTCTATGCCATGATTTGTGTCATTTCACAGTCATTCGAATTCAAATTTATTCTTGTCAATTAACCATTATAATAATTTCAGGGCGAAAAATATGATGGTAGAAGAGCAGATACATGGAGTTGTGGAGTTATTTTGTATGCCTTACTTGTGGTAAGTACAGTGCACGATACCAGAGGTTTATTCCCTTATTTTTTCCAAATATTTATCTTCTACCATTTATTTCTTCTCCACTTCTCATTTTCTCATCCCTTTCATTGTCCTCTTCATGTTCTTGCTTCTCCCTTGTTTCTCTTTTAAACTTTCACATACAATTCGTTTTGTTTGTCTTTCTTTTCTCATTTTTCTTCTCTTCCACACATCATCTTACTCTTAAATTGTTTTCCCTCTTATTTTTCTTCTTCTTAATTTTTACTTTTTCTTTCATCTTTTCTTCTTCTTCTCAGTTTATCATTTTTCCCCTTTTTACAGGGAGCACTTCCTTTTGATGATGATAACTTAAAAGGGCTACTAGAAAAGGTATAATTATAGTTATCCATGAAAGCAAATTATGTTTTCAAATAACTTTTATGTACTGTACCTCCAATATATATAGAGATACCACAAAATATGTTATATTTGCATAAACAATAATTTAATTTTTGCATGACAAAAATTTACGTATTTGGAGAAATATAGCTCACTAAGGTTTCACGAAATATTTTAAAATTGCTGCTAGGATGTTGCATGATAAGAAATTTGAGTCATCTCTAGCTTGATAATGAGATTTATTGCAGACGTTTCGACCGCAACTGCGTTCGAAATAAATCTCATTATCAAGCTAGAGACGACTCAAATTTCTTATCAGCTCACTAAGGTATATTATAGATAATTAATATTTTATGATTAATGTTTTTTGTGCCGTTCTATTTCAGGTTAAAAGAGGTGTTTTCAGTATTCCATCATTTGTACCATCTGACCTGAAAGAGCTGCTGCGTGGGATGATAGAAGTAGATCAAGACAAGAGATACACTGTAAGCTAGAGTATATTAATTATTGATATGCAAAATGGTGGAAACTAGCATTAAACTAATGTGAGCTGCATTCTAAAGATTAACGTCCGAAACGTCAGTAGGTTTGTTTCACCTACTTTTACAGTGTTAAATTTACATGTATCTTGTTTTAGTTTTCACATAACTGTTGGAACCGTGGAATTTTATGGCAGAAATATAGTGCAATTTTAGTTTTGTCATAATCTATCATGATGATTTAATCACTAACTTTTTCCCATGTTTTAGCTACAACAAGTTAAGAGGCATCCATTTTTATCGAGGTAACTGACTTACAGTGATTGATATTGAAGTATGCCTCATTAATCAATTGAATAGTTGTATATAACTAATGTTACAAAAACGTTTTACCTTGTTTACAAACTCAAAAATATCAATACATTTTAGTTACAAAGAAGATCTTCCCCCAGATCCTGATATCATAGACATTGTTAAAGTAAGTTGCTTATGCTGATGCAAAATGCTTTAATTTATTTAGCAACTATTAATTTATGTTTCGGTGATGTTTTTAGATTGAAAATATAAATGCTAAAGATGAAATAGACCCTGATGTGTTGGTCTGTATGACATCGCTTGGCTGTTTTAAAAACAAAGATAAACTTTTGAATAACCTACTAAAAGAGGGGTATGAATACTAAATGTCTTTTACTAATGTTTTGCAATTTTCGTCCAAGAGCCCTTTAAATACAACCAATCCATCAATAAATCAATGAATCTATAACTGTTACAGATTATTCACACTTTGTTGTTTCTTTTCGTTCTCAGCAAAACAATAGAAAAAGTGGTATATTTTTTATTACTGGAACGTAAAGAACGAGTACCTTGTAATGAAGACACAGAGGTTGCGTCTATCAACAGATTCCATAACTTAGGTATGGACCAAGGAAAACAGGGGACATTTATGTCACTTTGTTTATAAAATATGAGCGGGAGATCTGCAAGCTGCAAGCATGCAGTTTTAAGGCTGTAAAGGTTGAAAAAAATCAACATTGTTTATATTGCTTTAATTTATCAAATTCCAACATAAGCGTATCTTACTAAAAACATCAAGAAAAAAAAAATTAAGACAAAATCGAAGTCAGGGCAAAGCTCTTGCTCTTATAAAGATTTGGCTACAGCAATGATTTTCCATTGTGTTTACTTTATGAATTATTAAAATGAATTTTATAACCATTTATTGATACTTAACTGGGTTTAGTGTCCATCTTAAGCTGAATTATGATGATAATTGTACTTAATTAATTGTAGAAGATCCTCCAAGAAAAAGAGTAGACTCCTGTGGGTCACCAAGACTTCAGAGATCAAGGTGACTTTTATCATAATGATAGTGATGATAATTATATTCTTGATGTGTTTGTTGTTGTGGTTTCTCTTATCATATTTGCTTTTGTTGTGTTTATTGTTATGGTGGTTGTTGCTGTTTAGTTTATGTGGTTGCTGTTTTCGTTGCTGCTGTTGTTATTGCATTTGCTGTTGTGTTTGTTGGTGTCGCTTTGGTTGTGGCTGTTGGTGGCTTCTGTTGTGTGGTTGCTGCTGGTGGTTGTTGTATTAATTTGCTTTTGTTGTGTTTGCTGTTGTTATTGTGGTGGTTGTTGTTGTTGCTGTTGTTGTTGTTGCTGCTGTGGTTATTGTGATGTTGTGTTTATTGTTGTCACTTTAGTTGTGGTTGCTGTTGTGGTTGTTGTAKTTGCTGTTGTGTAGTTGCTGTTGCAGTTGCTGTTGTGTGGTTGCTGTTGTAGGTGTTGGTGGTGGATTCTACTTTGGAGAGAAGAAAGCTCTACTCTGTTGACAATACTTAAAATTTAACATTATATTATACAAATGATAATCATTTCTTTAATACAAGCAAACTTTCTCTCTTTTGTTGCTATTGTTGTGGTTGTTGCTGTTGTCATTATTGCATTTGCTGTTGCAGTTGTGTTTGCTGTGTTGTCACTTTGGTTGTAGTTGCTGTTGTGTGTGCACGTGGTTGCTGCTTTGGTTGTTGTAGTTGCTGTTGTGTGGTTGCTGCTGTGGTTGTTGTAGTTGTTGTTGTAAATGTAGTTGTTTGTGTTGGTGATGGATTCTACTTTGGAGAAAAGAAAGCTCTACTCTGTTGACAATATTTTAAATTCAACATATTATATATTATTAATATACTATACAAATAATAATATTTTAATACAAGCATCCTTTCTCTATTAGTAACAGACAAAATGTTGAATTATGTCCATCTCCACCTATCATGAGACCAAGAGCAGAAACGTACACAGGGGGGACAAGGTAGTTATCAATAAAGTGGTGGGAACTAGTGGTAAACTAGTGTGAGCTGCGTCGGTGTTTACAAAGAAACAGTTGTGTAAAAAGCTAAATTTGACACCATAAAAAGGGATTAATGTCTGAAACGTCAGCAAGTTATTTCACCTACTTTTTTATGCTGTAAAATCTATCGTTTTACACAATTATCAATACAAACTGGAAAGGCTAGTTGATTATTATTAGTTGCAGAAAAAAATTACGGGATCTTTTGAAGTGAACAGAGCAACAATTGAGTTTAACGATCTCTTTTAAWACTGTGCTAACTTCAATTGTTTGTATTAGATATGCAGAAATTTAGAGAAAAGAACTATTTTCTATGTCTTCTTTAACTCACAGATCTCTTGCATTTGCATGGGCTGTTACTGAATAAAAGGAATATATTACATGATTTTGAGGCTAACGTAGTGTAAAAGAGATCGTTAAAATGGTATACTTTTGATAGCTAAAGATATAATTTTATTGATGTCTTGACAGCTCCCCAACTCCACTTCATATCAGTCCAAAGCATCAATCTTCTTTAAGCAGTAGTAAAAGTCCTAGCAGCAGCCCCCCTGACTCACCATCGTCCACAACCCCCCCTGGTAGTCCGTGGAAATCACGGTTATCAAACATCAAGCAAGTTATTGTTGGTTCGCCGAAATTCCACAAAAAACGACATACACATACTACAGGTACTGAGCACTAGAGGGGATTTCGTATGAGTGGGATGATTGACTGTAGAAAATGATGATTGACAGCTACTGATGATTGACAGCTAATTGTGGTTGACAGCTATTTGTGATTGACAGCTATGGATGATTGACAGCTAATGATGATTGACAGCTATTTATGTTTGACAGATATAAGTGGATGTTGAAGACCAACAGCTAATGATTGACAGCTATTGAATGATGATGTACAACAATTAGATATCATGTTTCTAATGACTATTGTTTCTGTCATCTCTAGGTAGCAGTTCTGGAGAGACTACACCTGTTTGCCCTTCACCAGATTCATCTCCTGAGTATGTAGACTTTGAATGTGATTGACAGCTGTTGATTGACAGCTATTGATGATTAATAGTTATGATGCCCTAGATGTTTCTGGTTTCCGAATTGATTAAATATAAAATTGATAAATTTGCTAAAAGGCTATGAAATAAATACTGTAATTTAAATTAAATTAATGTAATAATTACATTATGTGAAAAAATTCTAAGTAATGTACAATCTAATTATTTAATATTTGGTAACCATAATGATATAATTCCTTACACTAATGATTCTTTTTTAATATAATATAGAAAGAAATCATAATGTTTATTCTTTTTAAATTGTCGTATATTTGAATTTTTTTATAAATTAAAACTTTTAAAATGTTTTTAAATCTTAAATTGTGTTTTGAATGTTTTTTTTTTACATTTTTTTTTAATTTCTATAGAAAGCCATTAACTTAAATTAAAAAATTGATAATTTTGTGATAAAATAATAGAGTAAAGTGGTAAGAAAGAATTAAATCAAACTTTTTAATATTAAACCTTAGTTTATAAATAATTATAATGATAATAAATATAATAAAATCTTCTCCAATGTGTTGTTTTTGTTTTTGTTTTGATATTGTTTTGTTTTTGTTTATTTTACTTTTCATCTTTTTATTACCTTGCCTTAAAAGATATTTAGGGTGAGAGGGTAGGTCCACAGGCTCCCTGTTTTTTTTAAAGCATTCCTCGCCATCTACATGTACATCATTTACATCCTGACTATTTAGTTCTTGAACACCCTTCTCTTGTTTTGAGAGTGATTCATGATCACTTTGCTGTTAATAGTCTCCTTCACGGTTACCTGCGCCATCTTGAAGGGGCCGTGCCTTTGCACCGAAGCGAGATGACCGTTGAACGTGCAATGATAGATACCTGTGAATAATTGTCTGTAGGTGTGAAAGAAGGTTTCTATCATTGCACGCTCAACGGTTGTCTCGCTTCGATGACAAGGCACGGGTACCTTTCAAGATGGCGCAGGTAACAGTGAAGGAGACTATTGTGTTGTTATGTTCAAGAAAACCGACTTAATAACTTCACTGGTAGGATACCTTGTACAGGAAGTGATAGGTCTGGTTTGTCACGTGACTTACGTGACAACTTGTCCATGCCAGTAAATTTAAACTTCATGATTTTTTTCTTCTTTCTTTCCAGTCTGGTCAAGAAGTCTTGGTTTGGCCATTTAATGCTAGGCCATAACGGACATCACAGACAAGAGGTAATAAAGTATGCATTAGGGGACACCCCTGAGGTTGCTTGTTTACGTTACATCTCTTTGTATGCATTGTGGTTGTTGTTGTCAATGTTAATGTGGTTGCCATTACCATCGTTGTCGTTGTTTTCATTGTCGTTGTGTTTGTTGTCATTGACGTAGTTGTTGTTGTTGTCATTGCCGTTTTTGTTGTTGTCATTGACGTAGTTTGTGTTGTCATTGCCGATGTTGTAGTTGTTGTCATTGAAGTAGTAGTATTAGTTGTTGTCATTGCCGTTGTTGCCGTTATTGTTGCCGTCGTTGTTGTTGTTGTCATTGCTGCTGTTGTAACTTTTTCCATTTAACCGATGTCAGATGCCATCTTTGCAGGAACCATTTTTTATTCTCATCAAGGGCAAGTCTTTTGGTACAGTCAAGGCAGATGTGGTTCATTCTTTTCTATCGGTTAGTACATCCTTAAAATTTATATTATACTGCATGGCCAGAACTGGCTGTGTACTTTTGCCAATCATAAGTACAGCAAGTGTAAGCAGATAAGATTTCTTTAATGGCCTTTATTAGAAGATTGATGTGACCACTAGTTCCAGAACGTAGCTTGTAATTCAGAGTGAGACAAGAAAACAAAGAAATATTGAGGGATAAAACTAACGCAAGGAAGTTTTGAATAATTTTTTCGACGTCTCGACGCCCTCCAGCATCATTTACAAGAAAAAAATGTAATAATTATTCAATAAGCAAAGTTATGTGGTTGAGTTTAAAGTCTTGCTCTCTTGAAAATGATGCTGGAGAGAGTCGAAACGTCAACAAAATGATTCAAAACTTCCTTGCGTTAGTTTTTACTCTTCAAATTACAAACAAAGGGCCACATTAATCAAGAATATGAGGGACTTTGTTAAACAATGTTTACACTTCTACTGGACAACTTTTTTTTGTATTGGCTGTCTTTCTTTGTTATTTCACGAAATCACAATCTTTGTTCTAATAGTAGCCATGTATTGCTAAGAAGGGTTTCCCAAGAAGACAAGGAATTATCAATTTGAAATTTGTCTTTTGTGCAACAGGTTAATAATCTGACTCATTGTGTCGTCACTCAGAGTAGCTTTAAAGCTGAATACAAGAAAGTTGGAGGTATATAATATAACAGTTTAATATCAAGGTCACCATCATTATTTGCAATTTGCAATATTTGGGCATGAGTCCCTTCCCAGGTTCAAGAGCATTTGAATATGGAAGGGAGCTTTCCATTTAGGCAGAACTGGCCGGCCAGTCCGCTCTATTTAGAGGTATATAATGCTTTTTGTCAACATTTTTCAGTCATTTCGAGGTTTTCTAAAGAATAATGTATAGAATTGAAAATTTGAATTTCCCAACTAAATAGGAATGATATATAATGACATTTTCTCTGGGTCTGGCCAGCCAGTTCTGACAAATAGAAAGTGCCCGAAACTACTGAGCTTAAAACTACATATTTTCCATGTGCATTCCGGTATTATAATTTGTGCTTTTTTTTTGTGTGTGTTTTTTTTTTTTTTTTTTTTTTTTTTCTCAATTATTTGTTTTAAATACGTTGTAGGGAAAACGATGTTCAGGAAACCAGTTCGTATCCTTGTAGAGATTACGCCTGTTAAGAGCAACTCTGACGAGAATAATGAAGTGCATACTGTCTCAATTACACTGGAATCAGGTATGCCACTGTAGGACTGGGTTTTACTGAGCTCATGGTAATGAGAGAATAGGCAATGTACCATTTTGTGCAGCAAAGCATGATGGGAGTTTCAGTCCTCGCAATTTTCCATGTTTTTGCATAGGCTGCCCAACTATTGCTTGAGAAAATGAAAAGAATGAATGCGCATCTGTCAGGTCGCAGCTCCAAACAACAATGCTGGTTGGCTCAACATGGAGTGACTCTAAAGACCGAGGCATAAACAATAGCCAGCCAATCACCATGGCTTTTATTTAGAGCTGCAAGTCAACAGCATCTTTTATGTTATTGGCGTTTATGTTTATGTTGTTGGGAGTTTTTTTAGGCGCTATAAATAGTGGGTTATTAGAGACTTTTCAACTAATTCTGTACTAAATTATTTGTTCAGGTCCAGCTCATCGGTTCAAAAAGCTGTGTGAAAAGCTCCAGCTGATTCTACTTTCCAACAAGAGGCAAAGTGTCCAGGCAGATGGTATCTCATTCAATGGTGATAAAGCCTGCCTTCTTGTCCAGGAAGAGAAGAAAGAAAACAGCCTCTCCCATAAACTGGAACTTGCACATTTATCTGACACAGAAAGTGAGAGTGAAATCCTTGACAGTCCTCGCATAAGCAAGAAGAAAACTTCATATGATGCCAAGAAATTGTATTAGGTATGGGCTCCCTGTGTAAAATATCAATTTGTGGGGTACCTGTGGTAACATACCAAGTGGTGGGATCCCTGTGTTGAAATATCGATAGCATTTTACAATTCTAATGGTTAAATGTGGAAGTGGAGATTACTGCTTTTAATTATCAATATTGGAATCCCTGTGAATGAATACCATTGAGCGATTCCTGTGTTTGAATATCAAGTGGTGGGGTCCCTGTGGCTACGACCTGAATGTAGGCAAGGGGCAGGCGAAGATCTTGTGAAGGGGTTGCTGGGATTGCTATTATTCCTCAATAGAAGCTAATCTTCAGCCCCCCTCTATGAATACTGGATCTTCCCAGAAAGCACAGGGATCCCAACTAGTGATATCTACTAATATGAAACCCAAACTCCCCCCTCACTAAATGTTTAGGGATTCTAACTAGTGATTTTTTAATCATAAATTATCAAGTGGTGGGATTCCTGTGGTTAAAAATGAAAAATTTAAAGCGAGTGAATGAAGAGGACAACAAACTGATTTATTGTAAATTATATCTATTTATTAATTGTGGTTGGAGTAGCACAGACCTTAAGATCTACAAAGATGGCATCCAATGAACGTGAGTTTAAAAATCCTTTTTGCTTATGGACTTCTCCTTGCCATACACGTTGAGGAACAAATATTGAGGAACTTGCTGTCAGTGTTTTTGATTGGAAGTTTTGGAAAGAACCAAGTCACCAAACTTTTACTGAGAGTGAAAATTACATTTATAATCCATACAATATCTATGAAGCTGAGAACTTTATCTACCCTAAGTACAGCTGGTTTCTTTACAGTCGAAACACATGAAGCGCGCCCCCTCAAAACACCATTATTTGATTCTTGGTCGGTTCAACATTACATTATTGAAATCAAATATGAATTCAAACTTCGAAATTTGATTGGACTATTGATCGGATTTTCATAAAGCCTTCTTCGTATTTCGCTGGTCTTTTGTAATTTCCACAAGTCGATGCATTGCAATATGCTGTCTGTAAATTTGGTTGGATCTGTTCCTTCTCGTGAGGAAGGAATGACGGTCTCAAAAAACTGGAAATGCTGTGTTGTATTCTGTCATTATCAGACGGGTGCTATGGACATGTCCATTGTTTAAAAAAAGAAAAATCCTTTTCTTTAAGAAGGTATGGGTAAAACTTTTTAAAAAGACCTATGCAAACGCGTTTGAAATTGCCGGTCAACAAAACGAATGAATGTTGAAACAAATTTCCAAAGCATTTGCGCCCGGCTTAACTCGGACATGAACTTTTCTTAATGTTGCTAATGGCATGTACATTTAAGATAAAAACGTTTCTTGAAATGCCTCATCGTCATCATAGTTGTTGTCTTTGTGGATTTTAAGGTTCAACAAGAACTATCTGATCGAAACTGCAAGGATTTGATATAAAACCTATTCTTATACAGCTTAAATTGAATATGTTATCCAATCTCGCACCCAGTTTTACGAGGCTGTTTTATGTTAAGTTTATGCAGTGTCGATAAGTTGTTAAATAACAGAAATGAGATATTATATAATATATATTACCAAATATTAATACTATTATTGTTTGAATTATTTATTGTTCGTTAGTGAGTGCTTTTAGCTATATGTAATTTAAGAATTGCATTATGGTTTTCATAAATCCGTGAAATACATCTCTTTAGCATGTCATTGTTCTTTACCCTGGTTCCAGAGGTTTCTTTGTGTAAAATATCTCTGTTCGGAGAAGAACAGATGCGAAGAACAGAGATATTTTACACAGAGAAACGTCTGGAGCCAGGGTAAGTATTCTTTATTTTGCATGTTCTTCTCGGTGTCTTTTCTGTGTTTCACGCTTTGTTTCACGAATAATGAAAAATACTCTTGCAGTGACCCTAAAAGCACATTTAATTGATTTATTTTAAACATTGATTGACAATTACCTATGTACGGTATGTCTATTTTAGGAATTGTCCATATACGTAGGAGAAAATAATCAACTCTGATTTCGATAAATGTTTGGCAAATTTTAAAGATTTTGCTTGTTCAGGTTTCACTTCGAAATAATTCCAGCATGGATACTAAACGTAACTCATTCACTTTATTCATTATAATCTAATTAACAAAGTTGTCAAACTAACAAAGAAATGGTTGGATTTCCAGTTCTGTTTGGTCTCTCCACCAATAGATTTTTTTCTGAAATACAAAATCATAGTGCATTGTGGTCTAGGTTCAGCACAAACAACGCCATATTTGGCAGGATGAACAAAAGATGTTTGTACTGAACCTAGACCACAATGCAATGCAAATTGCTATCTCAGAAAATGTCTCTGCATGTAACTTCTTTTTGTCAAATTGCGCAATAGGTCTTTTGCATGAAACCTTCACGTGGTACTAAGTTCGCCATACTGGATGGCAAAAGAGTGTAAACAACCTCAAAAACAAAAGGAACGCAGCTTATCAAGCTTGACTATTCTTAGTTTTGAACATCCAAGTTTATATTTTTGTCATCCATTATGGTTTATTTAGTTCCATTTTAACGTTTCATTCAAAAGACCTATTGGCCAAATCGGTTAACGCGTTGCTATAAAAGTTTCCACCCAATTCAAACCACCCAGGAGTAAGTTTCATTGTTCGTTGTATTTTCATTTCACAGCTGAATTCTTAGAAACAAAAGTTCTTTTTCCAACAGGATTTGAATTGGGTGGTAACGTACATAGTAACGCGTTAGCCCATTGGGTCTATTGGAGTTATTGCATGGGCACTTGACCTAATGCCTCCTTAACACTCAACTTTCTGGCAGTTAAATTATACAAATTGGAGGCTTAGCTTGAGCAAAATACAGCTGCAACAGAATCCAATGTTTGGGTATTTTTATCTTATGAGGAAGATTTTAACAATCTATGAAGTTACCTATTGAAATCTAGGACTTTACTATTTATGCATTTGATACATAATCGTTATCTTATTACCTTTTCTATAACCAATAGTTAATTCTTTCTAATAATCCTAAAATATGCTTTGTAATTACTCTATTGCATAATGACGTCACATCAGATATTCAGCCATTTTAAAGGGCCATGGTCAACCAGCATTCATTGCGGCAATCAATAGATTTTACTTATATGGAAAATGAGGTGACTTTAAATATCCATTCGCAATCCGTTTCCATCCGTCGTTTTTAAGCTCGAATCTTGCAATATCTCCATTCATATAGCATAAAGCGATAATAAAGAGTAAGTTTTTGCTTATATTACGATGTATTTATATTTTCAAACATTATCAATACCTCAAAAACTTTGCCAGTTGAACGTGGTCATTTAATGCTAAGGATATCGAGAACATAGGGAAGCAGAATTGACGGCAACACAGAGAAAGGCGAACTACATTAATTTTTTGAAACTGTAGATTAAGAACTTTGGATACTTGAATCGAGCTTTAAAAAGATAAATAAAAGTTTGTACAAATGACCATTTCCCCCTTGTGACGTCATTATGTAAAAGTATAGTTAATGTCCTGCATATTTAAAACTATTATATTAGTGGGTCATGTTGTCTAACGTAGTGCGTGATTGTCACAGATTGCGTGACATATATGGTGACATTCACAGATTGCATGACAATTTCTTACAGTTTCTGATATTGCAAATATCACTGTACAGATACTGCTATTCTATAATTGTAAAACACAAGTGTATTGTGTAATAGCAATATTTTGTGACAATCTGTGATTGCGTGATAATCTGTGATTGTGTGACAATCTGTGTTTGCGTGACAATCTGTGATTGCGTGACAATCTGTGTTTGCGTGACAATCTGTGATTGCGTGACAATCTGTGATTGCGTGACAATCTGTGATTGCGTGACAATCTGTGATGCGTGACAATCTGTGTTTGCCTGATAATCTTGATTGCGTGACAATCTGTGATTACGTGACAATATCTGATCGGTATAGGTCTATTTTCGTTCCTTCATATTCACAGTTCGATTATAAACTATATTTGTAATTTTCTAAGGGTTTGAAACAGGATTTTTATGAATCAACTTCACAAATGAATACATCAGTGGTATGACATTGTTATACATATATATTAATATTAAAACAAATCGGGGAAATTCATAAGTTAGTCATGTAGGAGCCAGTCTGAATATGTTTTCACTGAAGGGCTGTGAACCTCAGGGCCGGGTTGATCAAAGATCGATTAGCGCTAATGCTGTGTTAACTCTTAGAAAACCTATGGAGTTAACCCTGGATTAACGCTAATCGGGCTTCGAACAACCCGGCCAAGGTATATAATTTTGAAAGTTGACAGCTTTGTAGCTGTTTATCTGACTTCTCTAGCACTGTAACACTAGCCCTGTCAGTCAAAATAACATATTCAGATTGGTCTGTCTTGAAATTTTGTAATACGGTGGAACGGTGGACATTTTTAAGGATATGGTTGCCATCTTGTTTTCCGAAAGGAATTATGGGATGCCTAGGGTGTATTARCCAAGATGCTTTGCAGTCAAGAACCTTTTTTTCCTGATACAGTTCAATAGTATTTTGACCTCTAGGCATCCTATACTTGCATCAGGACTTTCGGAGAACAATGCGTCCGCCATCTTGAAAAGTGGGACTCGAATCACTAAATTTTAACTCTTAAAGGAATCAAAAGCTTCTCAACTAATATCAAGTTAATATAAAACGATATAGAGCGGATTTCGTATGAGTGGGACACCGTTACCGCACGGTTACCGCACAGTTACCGCACCTGGCCTGCAGAATTTTGGTGAAACAATGGGGCACTAGAATTTGGTTACAGTACGATTACGGACACAGTACAGTACCGTCCGTTTCCCACTCATACGAAATCCGCTCTAATGATAAATTTTTTGACTTAACAACTACGAAATGTGTTCTAAGGCACAACATAATGACTCGGGTATCACTTTTCAAGATGGCGGACACGTTCTCGGAAGGTATTGACGCATGTATGTGTCAGTTGTATCCACGATAAAGGTGAACTAATAGATCATGATGTGTATCAAAGTTAAGTCTTGTAAAGTGACAAATACTAAGAAACAAGTCTTCACTCTTATGTCAAACTAGTGTGTGTCTTTGATAACATTACAATACTTCACCGCAAGGTTAAACCTACACTCAAAATCACGCATGCAACATTAAACTCATCCATTCATTTTTGTATATTCGCTTTTAAACTTCACAGCTAATCTTTTCGGTTTTTATGCTTTGTTCTAAAATATTTAGGATRCTACGCGCGCTGTGATTGGTCGAAAACCATGTTTGATTACAGTATCAAAACACGCTCGCGCGCGTCAAAAATTTCTTTTTTCCCGCCGTTTGCATTTGTTGTTGTTATCATTCATTTTCAAGAACAATGAACGAAGAAATGCCTATTTATGATGTCCTCTGGGATGATATCCCAGAAGAAGAGCTATCAAACGTTTTAAAAGCTACAAAAGCTTCAGAAGCTGCAGACAACTGCAATATAAGGAGAATTCATCGTTTTATATCGTATCAAAAGTTTCCTACGCTTCTCTCGTGCTCTCCCTACATCCCGCGTGTTTTGATCAGAGTATCGAACACGGGATTTCGTCTTTTATTCCTTAAACAATACTTCACCGCAAGCTTAAACCTACACTCAAAATCATGCATGCAACATTAATCTCATCCATACATTTTTGTATTTTCGCTTTTAAGCTTCACAGCTAATCCTTTCGGTTTCTATGCTTCAATGAAGAGTGCAACAATCCTTCCAAATTGACAAACCACAACCACAATCGAGACTAGACGAGCTAGTAATAATGAATAACTTTATTTCAATAGTAATATGAAGTATTTGATTATTCTACAAGCTAGTGATCGAGTCTTCCTGAAGACATTACACTTCCTGAAATGAAAGATATTTGAGTTACA